TGATACTCTTGGCTTGTTCCTACATTATCTCTGTTCTTGACCTTTGCCCTTACTACATACCTACTCTGAGGGGCCAAGGTCACTCTAGCTGCTGCTCTAACAAGTGATGAGATATGGATGTCTTCTTCTAAAGGGATGTAAGTTTTGCCTATTCTCATACTACCTAGGTCGAAATATATCCTAACACCAGCTTCTGTCAACCAATCATGTCCAAGGATAACATTGCGATTCATGTTGCTGACGACATAAAATTTGTGTTCAAGGGACAGACCTCGGAGTTTAAACTGAATTTTAGCACTTCCGTCTACTATCAATGAATTCCCATTTACCCCTTGCAAGGCTACTTTTTTTTTCTAACTTGACCCCTTTTAATGACTCAAATACTCTTCTATGTATGATCGATACTTCGCGCCTGAATCCACTAAACATCTAAACTTCTGCTTTCCTATCTTTATGCTACAAGAATTTGGTCTACCAGCTAGATTGATTGAAAACGTTTCAGGGTCAGTTTCTTCCTCAATGGCTTCTCGTTGAGGAAGAGGGTCTAGTTTAAAGAATTCTCCGTACTAGTGTTTGTGAATCTGACTCTACGCTGAGGTTTGGGACTAGGACCGGCGTGTCCTACGGAGTGTTGGACAGTCTGCTCTGATATGACCTTGTAAATTACAGTGCCAACACGTGATCTGTCTGGATCTGGAGGGGGGAGACATAGCTTGTTGGGAGACACCATTTACAATCCTACGCTGACGACATTCCCTAGCTTTATGACCTGGTTTATTACAGTTATGACAACGAGGTTGTGGCCTGAAATGACTGACATCCATTGCTTCTTCCTGTCTATTGTGATTGTTGCCCCAATGCCTATTTGGTGATACAGAGTCACTAACGCCTCACGGGGATGGTTCTGTCCTACGAGAAAGAGGTTCTGTCCTACCCTGTTTGCCTAGCCTAAGGTCAAAACGGGCCCTAAGATTTTGTTCCTGTGTTGCCGACGTTACAGCGGCTGCCAAATTGTTTGGATTTTCTCTCATAATCTTTTTCTTGAGGTAATCATACGCTAACCCGTCAGTAAAAAAAAATCCTACCAGTTGCCTTTCTACTGCCGCCCCATTCCCAGCCTGGCCTAATCCTGCATAAGCTTCCTCAGCTAAATTGAGTAGGCGTTCTGCAAACATTTGCACACTTTCTCCTGACATCTGTCTGATAGATCTAAGTAACATGAAAGCATGCTGAGCATCCGTAATTTCAGCGAATCTTTGAGCTAATTCTGTTTTTAATGCTGCCCAAGTGGCTTGATCATGATCATTCATATACCTTTGTATGAAATCGCTAACGGTCCCTGAACTACTTTGGAAAGCAATTAGTTTGCGTTGGTTATCATTAGCATTAGTCAGAATAGCCCATTTTTCTATTGACCTAACCCATTGACGGAAGGAGGATGGTTCTCCTTGGAAATTTGGTACAGCACTAGCAATGCCCTGAGCTCCTAACGCTGCTGACAAATTTGAAAGTTGCCCCGTGATTTGCCCTGCAATTCCCTGTAAAATTCTCCTAATTCCGGAGCTGCCATTTCGTAGTGAAGATACAAACAACCTTAGTTACTCACCGATGCTGCACGAACTCCTGGTCTTCAAATCCTGGTCTCGGCACCAAATCAAGTGTCTCGTCCCTTCGTGTAACAGAGTTGCACGGGCAGAACAAGAACACAAGCACAGCAAAGGAAGGTGATCAGGTTTTATTCAGAGCTGCAGGAAGGCGTGGCAGACAGCAGGGCTCGAGGGGGGTCAGGAACATCAGCAGAGCGTAGAGCACAGGGCGGCTGGCTGGCTAGATGCTGCTCCTAGAGGGAGATGTACTCCTTGAGGCGGTCGAGGCGAGTCTCCTGACCACTGCACAGTGGGTCCTTATAAGCAGATTTCTGTCCGTCCATCATGCCACCAGTGGACAGGGGGATGTGCCATTGTCCCTTGTTAAGTCTGAGTTACTGCTGTTTTCGAACCGTCTATGCTACCTCCAGTGGACAGGCGAGTCATTACTATGAGATATTACCCTGTTTGTGGCAGGGCGGCATTGTACAGTTGGTCAGCCTGGGGTCACAGTTGTCTGGAGCTCAGCTCGTTAATCCGTGATACTGTCCAGCGTGACCATATGCCAGTTTCATACACAGAGCGCGACAGCTAGCAGTGCTGAGAGAGGTAAGTTAATTATTTATTTGTTCTTGGCCGAAAATTCCAGGTTGTTTTATAGCGTTGTTTGTTTGTTATAGTTTCTCGGTCCACTGAGAATAATATGGTGATATTATTCTATGCACACCCAATAGTGTAACACTCGTCCTTCTACCTCATATCCGAAAACATAAATATATTTAAAATGGGTTTGCATGCTTATATATAACGTTATGCATTCAATATTAATCTGGCTTGCATAAATGAAGAAAATAGATTTTTCTCTTTCATGTCAAAAGCCGAAGGACCGAGTATGTACTCCCAAAGGAAGGGGCATAACTCCGCTGTGCTTAGCACCATGTCACTGTAGCCCAGGGACTAGATTTTCGAAGCCCTCTTAGTGCTAAGATAGTCGTAAGTTAATGTTAATGTATGGCACTTACGACTATCGTAGCGCTAAGAGAGCTTCGAAAATCTAGGCCGAGGCCACGTAATGGGCATTTGATGTACATCAGGACGACATATTTTCGTGATGTTTCGTCGAGGAGAAGCGAAACCATTCCAGTACAAATATCAATACTGAAACGGTAGGTTAAGTATATCATTGGGGATATACAAGACAACTTGTAGAGAAATATGGTGAAACGTTCACTATCCTGGCGACCACAATGTGAAAATGGTGGACCAACTAGTTACATTCATCTCTCATTGTACAGAAGGAGAAACGTTCACTATCCTGGCGATCACAATGTGAAAATGGTGGACCAACTAGTTACATTCATCTCTCATTGTACAGAAGGAGAAACGTTCACTATCCTGGCGATCACAATGTGAAAATGGTGGACCAACTAGTTACATTCATCTCTCATTGTACAGAAGGAGAAACGTTCACTATCCTGGCGATCACAATGTGAAAATGGTGGACCAACTAGTTACATTAATCTCTCATTGTACAGAAAGAGAAACGTTCACTATCCTGGCGATCACAATGTGAAAATGGTGGACCAACTAGTTACATTCATCTCTCATTGTACAGAAGGAGAAACGTTCACTATCCTGGCGATCACAATGTGAAAATGGTGGACCAACTAGTTACATTCATCTCTCATTGTACAGAAGGAGAAACGTTCACTATCCTGGCGATCACAATGTGAAAATGGTGGACCAACTAGTTACATTCATCTCTCATTGAACAGAAGGAGAAACGTTCACTATCCTGGCGATCACAATGTGAAAATGGTGGACCAACTAGTTACATTCATCTCTCATTGAACAGAAGGAGAAACGTTCACTATCCTGGCGATCACAGTGTGAAAATGGTGGACCAACTAGTTACATTCATCTCTCATTGTACAGAAGGAGAAACGTTCACTATCCTGGCGATCACAATGTGAAAATGGTGGACCAACTAGTTACATTCATCTCTCATTGAACAGAATGAGAAACGTTCACTATCCTGGCGATCACAATGTGAAAATGGTGGACCAACTAGTTACATTCATCTCTCATTGTACAGAAGGAGAAACGTTCACTATCCTGGCGATCACAATGTGAAAATGGTGGACCAACTAGTTACAGTCATCTCTCATTGTACAGAAGGAGAAACGTTCACTATCCTGGCGATCACAATGTGAAAATGGTGGACCAACTAGTTACAGTCATCTCTCATTGAACAGAAGGAGAAACGTTCACTATCCTGGCGATCACAATGTGAAAATGGTGGACCAACTAGTTACATTCATCTCTCATTGTACAGAAAGAGAAACGTTCACTATCCTGGCGATCACAATGTGAAAATGGTGGACCAACTAGTTACATTCATCTCTCATTGAACAGAAGGAGAAACGTTCACTATCCTGGCGATCACAATGTGAAAATGGTGGACCAACTAGTTACATTCATCTCTCATTGTACAGAAGGAGAGGAGGAAATGACGTGTCAGACTTCACAGTTTTGTCCAACGACTTAAAAACAACTCGGAACAAGTATTTCTTAAAACGTCAATATATCTACATATCACACATATTATTCATAATGTTACCGTCTCACAGACTGTTTTGATGGTTCTCAACCACTCTGCCACTATATCACTACCATAGATCTCACTAGTACTCTCGTCATGTCTCACAGACTGTTTTGATAGTTCTCAACCACAACGCCACTATATCACTACCCAAAGATCTCGCTCGTTCGGGGCGGTGGGGTAGCCTAGTGGTTAAAGCGTTGACTCGTCACGCCGAAGGCCCGGGTTCGATTCCCCACATGGGCGCAATGTGTTAAGCCCATTTCTGGTGTCCCCCGCCGTGATATTGCTGGAATATTGCTAAAAGCGGCGTAAAACTAAACTCAGTCAGTCAGTCAGTCTCGCTCGTTCACTCGTCATGTCTCACAGACTGTTTTGATGGTTCTCAACAACCCCGTCTCCATATCACTACCATAGATCTCGCTCGTTCTCTCGTCATGTCTCACAGACAGTTTTGATAGTTCTCAACCACACCGCCACTATATCACTACCATAGACCTCGCTCGTTCTCTCGTCATCTCTCACAGACTGTTTTGATGGTTCTCAACCACACCCCCACTATATCACAACCACAGATGTCGCTCGTACTCTCGTCATGTCTCACAGACTGTTTTGATTTTTCTAAACCACCCCGCCACTATATCACTACCATAGATCTCGCTCGCTGTGAGACATGACGAGAGAACGAGCGAGATCTGTGGTTGTGATATAATGGTGGTGTTTCAGAACGAATCGAGTCAGGTCGAGTCAGATCGAATCAGGTCTACCAAGTTTTAGAAAAAATTTTGACATGTCAAAAATGTTCCCCGACTTCCTCCTCGACCTTCGGTCCGAGATGGGGACGAGACCAGGTCGAGAATAGGTCGAGGTAGGTCGAAAAAAGGTCGAGTTTAGGTCGACATTAGGTCGAGTTGGTCGAGTTGAAGGTCGAGCTGGCCTGACATGCCGATCTGTGTTCGTCTAAGAGTCGATCTGGACTCGGCCTCGACTCGACCTCGACTCGACCTTGAGTCAACCAACTCGAACTGGATTCGACTTGGACTCAACCTGGAGTCAACCGAGTCGACCTGAAGTCAACCTATCTCGACCTCAACACGACCTAATCGAGTCCACGCCGACCGCATAAATGGTCGCCATCTTCCCAGACGCTTCATAAAAGCCAAGCGGCAGCCAGTGGTAGCACATCATCTCCACACCAACCTGCTGCCACCCAGAGGTCCACCCTGAGCACACCACCCTCTCCAACACGCCGCAAAGCAGCGAAACAGGCTGGTATCTTCCCCAGCTTTGACTCCAGTGCTGCAGCAGGTATATCTCTGTACCTGCCAAGCGGTCTCTTGGACCCTACACACACCTCAGAGGATGTTCAGGACTCTCAGCAAGGACAGTGAAACTGAGAAGTAGAACTTGGTACTCATATATTGTCATGAACACTTTATACTGATGTGAAATGTTACCTTCAGATTATTTAAATGAGTTTCCAATACAAGATTTAAAATCTTTTTTATCTAATATTTTTTTTGTATTTTCCATCCATTGCTAAGTGTAAATGTAAATACATCTTTGTTCATCATGTATATAGTTAGTTTTCATTGTGTGTTTTTTCGCATTTACCAATTGTAAATAGTGTAAATATAAAACAAACAAGAGTTCCTTTGTAAATGAAGTAGTCCTAAGTAATAGAGTACACTTTAAAGTCATTTGGATATCATCTTCTCTTGCCAATGAACAGCTCCTGGACCCATGAAATAGTCCTTCAAATAGTTTCTTTGGTTGGCGCCATCTAGTGGGGTAACGTTCCTCGTACCCCGGTTATCCCGTTAAGCAGCTGTGTGTAGGAGCGCCACTTGCCTGGGGTGAGTGAACAGTCCCCATTCCCCGGTCTATGAGGTTCATCTGACTGTTCCGGTTCCTCGTTCTCAGCATGTTGTGTAAAGTGAGTCAGGCCTGGGATATCTGTTTAGGGAACCTCATAGCCAGAATCCCGAAGGTATTCTCCACCACTCGTCTGGCCCGAGACAGTCTACAAAAGTCACAAATTAAACATTTTTAAGTCAAATGCATTCAAAATTCAAAACCTTTGATATAATATTGCAGACACCCAAAGATACTAAGTTATTATTTAATTTAGGTATTTATGGAAAAGAATAATAACCTGCAGTTGAAGATCTGCTGATCGGGGTCCATCTGATGCATGGAAAAGGACTTTATCATCCAGGGGCGGAGTGGAAAGGCATCGTCTCCGATGATGAAGTATGGCACACCATACTGGGAATACGCGGTCATCGCCCTCCATCCGATCTCGTGAATGGTTGAAAACCATCAGCGTGTGATGCTGATCCCTTGGCCCCAACGTTGACCCACGGGAACTTGTAGTCGGCATCCGCGAGTGAAGACAATAGAGAAGAAGTTCTTGTAGTGGTAGAAGAGGGACCCGTTTTGGGGGGTCTTCTTGATGCGTATGTACTTGCCAGCAAACGCACCGGTGCAATATGGAAATTGCCACCTTTCCTTGAAAGCACGGGCTACAGTATTCCATCTACTCTGATCCCATTAATCTGACCAATACTCAGCTTTGAAGGCTTCAAGGATAGGATTGATGTGCTTACGGCTGAGGTTTTGGCTTTGGAGGAGGGTTGGCATTCTCCAGATCATCCACCAGTTCAAGCAGGTGCCAGGCTATCTGCACCCAAATGGTAAGCAGTCTTCGCTTCTCGGGGCTCACCAGGTTTACGTCGGGGTTCCTGATGGTGATGTTACTACTTTGTAGTCCTGTAATTGAATGGGTACCTGGTGAAAATGAACCCAGTAATTTATACAATTTGGAAACCAAGGGTCTACTCGGCAGAAAAATGGAATTTCCGTCGAGAACCAGTCGCTCCAGTTGAACACAGGTCGCGGTGAAGTCGGGCCAGTCGACTCAGGACGAAATTAATTCGAAATTAGGTCGATATACAGGTCTAGCTGGTCGAGTACAGGTCTTCTCAACTTGGCCGACCTAAGTCGAGATAGGTCGACTGAAGTCGAACTAAAATCGAACTAAGGTCGTAAAGGTCCTTACGAGGTCGTTATGAGGTCGTTTGGAGGTCGTTTTGAGGTCGAGATACCCCCCAGGTCGAGACCGGTCGAGTAGTTTGCGAGGTCTAGTCGGTCGAGCTCCCGAGGTCGCCACTGGGACCGCACCATTAAAGCTGCAGGTTACCGCGACCAAGTGCTGGCCCCCGAACCTATTCCATTAATGGCAGCACATGGTCCAGTTCAATGCCAGACCCCATACATCCATCTCGAACAGGAATTACCTGCAAAACGCAAGAATCATATGGCCATATACGCAACTGAACGTTTGAAACATCAGATTTAATTTCTTGCGACTTGACACTTTGTTTACGCCTTTTGCTGAAAATTCTGTCAGCACATGGAACAGATTTGGACTTTGTGATTATTCTCAGTTCATCCTTAACAAATAAATGATAACCTCTATACCACATTCTTGGATCCTTTCTATTATATATTATTCCATATATGGTTGTGTAGTTTCTACTTTGATTCAGTATATGCCAGCAAAAAGTAAGAAAATCATTTTCAGACTGTATAGGTTGTAGAGCATATCTACTTGAGCAGGTGATATCTTACAGTAAACACACAAAACACGTCAAGGTAAACAACAAATAGTATGTTTTGCGAGTCACTAAAACATACATACACAACTGCTTCCGGTATATTTACTTATTCGAAACAATCGTATATTATTGATAATAAAGTCAGAGTTTGCCCTAAGATCGCAGATAAAATATCACACTGATTTGATTATGAATCAATGAGGGAGTCATATAACAGAAACTAAATTACACAAGAGATAAGTAAATATGGCGCTGATTGCCACTAATGAAAACACAAACACGTGACGCCCCCACGTGATAATAAAGGTCACCCAATGACAATTTACTGCACCTCAGGCGGGTCTCTTAAGTCTAATACTAATAGCATAAAGATCACATTTAAAAATTGTGGGCTGAATCTGAAACTGGACAATATCGCATATTTTCAGAGAATATTTACAATATTAGTATTATACATACCCATTCAACCAGTAGAGGTATAACACGGTAAAATATACAATCAATGGAATCTTCAGATTTCATGTTGGCTGCTCATGGCAAATCACACTTTACATATAAGAGCAGACTGGGTTGATCGACAGTACTAACCTTAAGATACTTTTTATGTTATTACTTGTATTCTCTCAACCAGAAGTGTTTGAAGTGGAACGAGTATAAAATCTATATTTCAATGGATTTCATTATGTTCTTTTGAGTTCTAAATATATATAATAATATATACTTCATACTTATGGGCAGTGGGTCAATATTGCATGTTTTAATTTCCTTGACTACGCTTATTACACATATTCGCTAATCCAAATCTGGCATAATTGTTTTCGTTATTGCATAGTTGTTACACATTGCAATATTCCAGCCACATGATACCTGTAAATAAGTTTGGACCAGACAATTCAGTTATTGAGGTCATTGGGACCTGATGCTAAACAATGAATAAGTCACACAAAAAAGTAGATATGAAGGCATAATTTATCTCAGGAACAATATTTTATCAAAGACACTTCAGCTGCTTGGCTGCAGACGACTATTTCGAGCACATTGTGAAGGGGGGACAACTCTAAACGCTAGCTTGTCCTGCAAATTTTAATGTTGTTGATGACAGAGCATAGAACACTAAATTCAAGCCCTATGAAGGGCTCAGTGAATTTCCCGTTTATTTCAAGCCGATTGGGAAGGGGATTTTTAATTAAGTGAAGGTTTAAAGGAACATTAACGAAACGTTTTTCAATAGTTTCTATAACAGTTATAACTATAGCCTTCTGAGATGAGGTACAAACTCTCCCGTGTTTTTCATTCTGAAGTAAGTATGCCCTGTATGTCTTGTTTCTGTTACTGGCAAATCGTATATGATAATGGCAGTAATACTAACGTAACATTACTTTGAGGCTAAGAGTGTTATGAAAAGGAAGCCACTAACTGCTCAGGGACCATGAAAGTTTAGGGGGTGAGAACTTACATTTGACCTTTTAACTCTGACAATATCAGCTTGGTATTGTGTGTGATGGTATGTTACTGAATATACCCTACCATTATTTACAGATCATCACTCTTCTTACAATGTAATCAGTGTGTACATGTACCTATAAATATTTCTTGTATTTCAGAAGAAATATTCTCGGAAAAGTACGAACAAGCAACATACCAATCTCTTATAAACTCTCAAAATTTGCATAACACAAATATCTAAGAAGTTTTAAATCCACAAAACAAACTTGTATTATTATACTTACATACCCACCCAGAATGGACATAACATCATTAAAAAATAATTGTGATATAATTTAATTTTCTTTTTTCCCGTTGTTACTTTAAAGAAACCATTCACTGTATTATTACATAAACACTGCGCAGAAGTGGCCAGGGCTGCCCATACATATATACAATTTACTATATTTTTACACATATAATTAAAGCATATTTATTAAACTATCAAAAATAATCCAATGCCATTCACATCATATATTTTCTGGTTCTATTTATGCGCATACATACATATATTGTTAAAAGGAATAATTAGCTATATTTTAAGATATTATTAGATATTGCAAGACATATTTCAAGTAGAGGAGCAACCATATTTGGGAATGTATGAATGAACCATTATAAAACACCTGACACCTAAATCCAGCCACCACAACCAGGAACATTAATTGGTCGCTCCCTTATGGTAAGCTACAACCCAACTCACCAAATGCCAAGGTAAAGTAATTACAGCAAAGCGCATGCAAATGAATTATATTCCGTTTCAGTTTCACGTTTCTACTTTTTTTAGCTGCATTAGTTCGCTATTTTGGCTCAAATCGACTACTAGTTAAAATAAAGGACACGAGTTGTGATTTTGCTCTAAATATACTAGGCAGATAAAGAAACTGTGCATACAAAAATGTAAAATCTAAATTTATCAAACCTGTGTAGACACATAAGGATTTAAACTCAGAGATTAGTGACATGTATAACATGCATGCACGTGCCACGTTCTGTGATGTCAGTGGTTTCATCCTTGAGACGTGCAAGACGTTGTTGCACGTGCAGTCCGGGAAAGAGAAACAGAGCAAATGAATGCCACACAATACTGTCACTTTGGAAAGCTCAACCCCTGCCCTTGCGATCGTTCAAAAAAGTTAAACGGCTATTGAAACGCATAGCATGCCAAGGCTCTCGCCTGCACAACGTCAAGAGGCCGTAGGGATGGTGCATGGGGGGAATGTCTCAACGACAAGTGGCTGCACATTTCCACTGCCACCGGAACACCATTTCTGCACTGGTGAGACGTTACCAGAACACAAATGACGTCATCGATCGGCCACGTTCTGGACGTCCACATGTAACAACGCCAAGACAGGACATATGGATAAGGGCGACACATCTTGGCCACAAGTTTTTAGACTGTAGCGATGACTGCCCGGACCATCCCAGGACTTCGCCGTATCCACCCCAACACAGTTCGACAACGTTTACGTCATCACGGGATCAGACCACGACGTCCCGCCATACGGCCTATCCTGACACAACGTCATCGACAAGCTCGCCGAATGTGGTGCCGAAATCATGTCCGCAGACCCTTGTTTTGGTGGAGAAATGTTGTTTTTACAGATGAGTCCAGCTTTAACATTTCCAATAGTGATGGACGTCAACGCGCCTATAGACGCATGGGAGAACGTTATGCACAGGCCTGTGTCTTGGAGAGGAATCGCTTTGGTGGTGGTTCTGTGATGATTTGGGGTGGAATAACCGAACGCCAAAGGACTCCTTTGGTAATTGTTCAGGGCAACTTAACTGGTGTGGGCTACAGGGATCAGATTCTTCGACCTGTGGCGATTCCTTTTCTGCAACGTCAAGGCCCTGGGTTAACATTCCAACAGGACAATGCCCGCCATCATACGGCAAGGGTTGCTATGGATTTCTTGCAACACCACAACGTTGACCTACTGCCTTGGCCTGCAAATTCACCGGATCTCTCCCCGACAGAACATGTTTGGGACGAGATGGATCGACGTCTACGCCGTCTTCCTCATCCGCAAGATAACGTCCTTGACTTTGAACAGAACTTGAGAGAATCTGGCGTGACATCCCACAAGCCTTCCTTTGATAGGCTCTATGCTTCGTCGATGCACTGCTGTTCTCAATGCCGATGGTTGACATATCCGTTATTGAGCCTGTGACATGGTCGTTTGACCCCTGTCCCGCTTGTGGACTCGTGACGTCAGTGTGATTGACTTTTCAGTTGAAATTCTCACGACTTGTTATGGTCTCATGATCCCTCCATTACAATTTATATGTACCTTGGACATTGTTATCGTACTTATCAACTGGGATAATGTTTTGACAATGCACAGTTTCTTTATGTGCCTAGTATATGTTTTGTCGATGAAATACTTAGTTGAAAGCAACACGTACAGTTCCTCATGGTAGTTGAATAGTTTCCTCGGTAGTGAACAGTACATAAGAAACAAAGCAGAAATTCACGTTAATGATTTTATCAATTTGCATGTTGTCTTGGTCGTGTTTTCTGAAGCTGTAGCTGAATAGTGAAGAAAGTTGGTTGGTTGGT